TTTTGATGGTCTTGTTGGGCTGAATATAATATTAACCTTCCCCTTCCGAAAACCTAGCTTAGGTAGTGAGAACTCATCTCGCAAAATCATCTAGAGCCATATATCTGTCACTGGAAGAATGTGCTTTGAAAATCTAGCTGTTATTCATCTAACAATTGCTTGGCAAGGGGAGAATCTGGTAGAGGCCATTTTTCACCATAAATATCCTTTAACCAACGATAAAACAACGTTAAACGTGCATTTAAGGTGCAGATGCTTAAATTTGACAAGATTCAAGACAATTTCATTCAGGTAATTCCTAACACACTCACTGTATATATCACCAACGTAGGAAAGCAGCACCTTTTCATCAACACTGTAGCTACCCAAAACAGAATCTGCCACGTAACCCAGCGAGTGTACCGTCCGCCGTGCCGCGTGTGCGTCGCGCGAGGGCGTGGCACAGCGTACCCAGACCCAGTGAGAAGGACCTCAAAGACTGTAGCTTATAAATAGGAGCGCTCCATGGGTCCCCCCCCCCCCCCGCCATGGACTCGGAGCTGATAGTTTCAGGAAAGCATCCTTTATATTGGGTAGTGAACTGTGGGAGGATAAATTTGGTTCTTTGCTTGGCCTTGTTAAAGATTTTATTTTGGGTGTTTGGGAACTAAGAAAGGTCAGGTTACACGGCGATAGTCCCCGCGTACAACAAACCCAGTCTCAGATTGCGTCTGGGGAGCTGCAGGGTGTCACTGGTGGAAGGGGTGAGTTGAGGTGTCTGGGAGGTGAGACAGACACCTCATGTTCATGTTCATATGGTGTATGTTCATTTGTTAACTGTTCCACCCATTGCTCTGGGTGCGTGGTCTATGGCCCTAGTGCTATGGCAGCCACCTGAGTATTATTATTATTTGTAGCCTGCATGGAGGTGAAACTTTGTACGCATGTGTTTTACATCATTTCCATGACGACCAAAACAGCCTCAGGCAGTTTTCTTTATAATTACTTCTTCACACCTCAAACTTGCTAACGGCAGCACACATGGGGGTGAATGCACGTCATTTCCATGACGACAACGGCCATTTTTTCTCTATTCATTTTTTATAGGGGCTTGCCCCCTTCCACAGAGATGAAACTTGGTATGTATGCTTATTATATCATTTCCATGACGACTGCGAAAAAGCTTCAGGCAATTTTCTTTAAAACTACGCTAACTGCATAGAGATGAAACTTGGTACGCATGCATAATATATCGTTTCCATGACAACCACAACAACAAATAGCCCCAGGCACTTTTCTTAAAATTACTTCTTCACTCCTCAAACTCGCTAACAGTACCATGCATGGAGATAAAACTTAGTACGCATGCCTATTACCATAATATGACGATCACAACATCAAAAATAGCCTCGGGCACTTTTGTTTAAAAAACACTTCTTCACTCCTCAAACTTGCTAATTGCAGCACGCATGGAAGTGAAACTTGATGCACATGTGTATTACATCGTTTCCATGACGACCACAACAACAAATAGCCTCAGGCACTTTTGTTTCTTCACTCCTCAAACTCGCTAACGGTACCACGCATGGAGATGAAACTTGGTACGCCATCATTTCCGTGACAACCACTTTGTTTGAACAACAACAAATAGCCTCTTCTTCAAAAATAGCTTCTTCACTTCTAAAGGTATCACGCATAGTGATAAAACTATGTACGCATGGGTTTTACATCGTTTCCTTAACGACTACATACTGTTTGAACAAAAACAAATAGCCTAAGGCTTTTCTTTAAATTTACTTCTTCACTCCTCAAACTTGCTAGTGGCAGCATGCATGGAGATGAAACTTGGTATGCATGCATGTTACATCATTTCCATGATAACTTCATGTTTCCATGACGACCCACATATGTTTGAACAACATCGAATAGCTTCAGGCAGATTTCACTCATCAAACTTGCTAACGGTAGCACTCATGGAGATGAAACTTGGTAAGAATGCATATGACATCGTTTGCATGACAACCACATAAACAAATTGGCTCAGGCACTTGGTACGCATGCATATTATATACATCATTTCCATGATGACAACAGGCACTTTTCTCTATTATTAGACGTAGTAGTATATAAAAATGAGTGGAGACAAGTAAATTAAAAAATCCTACGGATTTAAAAAAAGAATCATATAGGGATCGTATAAAAAGAAAGGGAGACAAGATAGGGATGGTGTTTGTGGAAGCACAGAGATGCTAGCGAGGAGTTAGGACTCCCACAGGTCATTACAACAGCCCTATATCGTCGTACGGTGGGAGTACCTAGCATCATAGATGTATGGGGCTATGATAGGGAAAGTTTTCAATCTTCTTCGTAGGGTGGGAGTGGGAGTGATGAGAAAATACTGCTATGGGTAATGAAGTACTTACTAATTACCTTTGATAGATTTGTCATGCTACACTTCTATGGAGTGCCATTTAGGTGGAAGTGTAATCAGCTGACCATAACATTGGATATACATGGAAAAATTGTGTAACAAAATTCAAGTATGCAAGGTTGGCTGATATATTCACGAGGAAGTAGTAAAGCACCGATACGACGATATAGGGCTGTTGTAATGACCTGTGGGAGTCCTAACTCCTCGCTAGCATCTTTGTGCTTCCATCCCTATCTTGTCTCCCTTTCTTTTTATACGATTCCTATATGCTTCTTTTTTGGATTTACTTGTAAACCTGTGTTATATATAGGTTAGATGCCGAGTCCAGGAAACTACGCAAATTAGAGAGCCGCGGGGGCCCTGAGCTGTCGGTGTTCGAGCGCAGCGAGGACGCTACTAAAGGGTCCCCAAGGCGCTCTAATGCGCGTAGTTTCCATGACGAGGCGTCTAGAGCTATGGTAACGCAAACCAACAGCGCATTGGAGAAATGGCAACAGGCTTCGATATCTTCGGAGAGACTATCCGCGACTGGCTTACAACGATGAGGCGTGTGTCTCTTCTCCTAGCAGCGAGCGACGACTACGATTCCTCACAGGACCCCGCCCAACATCCAAGTTGCCGCCCACTCCCACTCCCGCTTTGCTCCTACTAAGCTCACGGGTGTTTCACGCGTGCAAATGGTAATTGCGCGTAACAGCGCTCTTACGCGAACGTATTTAAATTTTACGCCTACGCGTGGTTAGCAACGCCGGGTGCAATTTCCATACCGTATGGAATTGTGTTAGGAATCTGCAGCGGAAAAGCTGCACAAGAGGCGGAAGTATCACATCCGCTAACGCGCACATGAAATATACAAAGCTAACTATACTGCGCATGCGAGAATTTTCCTTGGCAACGCGGAACGGCTGCGCATGCGACATCTTGTAGTTCTTTGCAACACCTGCCAAAGGCCATCACGTTTTTTTCCAAGATTACAACCAGGTTAGTTCAGTAGTGCTACAAATGAGCTGCAAAATGAACAGTAGTTAGTTACAAGAACTATTTTTTCCTGCCGCCAACAGCCATTTCCCTGAGAGGTGTATTTACATACATAGCTAGCATTCATGGCCAGCAACGACACAGCTGCTCGCTACATCTCCAGAAGTTAGCAAAGTACTGCAGAGTGTGTTCCAAGGTCCTGCAACTGAAAGAAACAGCTCATTCCTGCAATGCTAATGCTGAACTACTACTCAAGATCTTCAACATTGACACCAAAACAGACAGCACAAATGTACATCCGAGAACATACTGTCACAAATCCCACACAACTGCAAAGAAGATGGCTAGTGGGGAGGACGGAACAGTTATTGAGACTGCAATTGTTCCATTCGAGTGGTCACTTCATATAGACGATTGCTGCTGGGTGTGCAAGGGAAAAGCTGGAAGACAAAAAAAGGGAACTAAGAAACGAGGTAGACCAAAAGAGGAGAGTGGCAAGGGAATTGCCAATAGAGTCCTTAGAACTGCACCACCAAGTTGGCGAGCAGCACAGCCTTTGTCACTCTCTCGTTTTCTTCCACCAGCTACCTCTCTCTCCTTGCACGATCTCCAGTGCAAACTCTGCGAGTGTATCGTAGACAGACCGGTTGAGACACCATGCAGGAGTCTTGTGTGTGCTCAATGCATTGGTAACCATGTACTCACGGTAGATTCAAGTTTCTCTTGTCCATGCAGCAAAGAGAGTCACGAACTTTCGCCTTCAATGTTCGTCGCTGCCTCTGATGTTGTGTTGAAGGTTTAGGATCCTTCTTGATCCGGTGTGACAAGCCGAATTGTTCTTCAGTGATGGGCTTGAAACACTTGGCAGAGCATGTGAACTGTGGCTGCCAGACACACACTCAGTGTTTCTCACCTTTAAAACTCACTACACAACAGATCCTTTCACGTCCACTCCAGTCACCTCCGACGGCAGTTGAGCAAAAGGCTGCTGCAAACATCGTGAAGAGGCTACTACACACTTCTCCTCCCACGCCAGGTTCATCTCAGGACTCGGCACCAGCACAAGTTGTCAAGCTTACAACAGAAGGCACAGTAAGCACTTTAAACACTGTAAATGCTATTAATCACTTACCTTTCACAAGCCTTTGAGTCTGGTGAGAGTGCCGACTCCCAGGGTGAGTAGCCGGGAGGCCAGCCGTTGGACCAAGAGCCGTCGCAGCAGCAACCTGTCAGCAGTTAGGTGTATTGTTAGTGGAGGGTGCAGATACAGTCAAGATGGTTTTTCAGCTCTGCAACGTTCCCAGCCCAAATGCAGTCCAAAACACCTGTGTGTTTGCTGTGTTTGAGGGAAGGGACACAGGCACATTAAGTATGGAAGAGCACTGCTTCTCTTTTCAAAGTGTCACAATGTATACAACTCATCGCAACACTTTGATGAGTCAGCCCTTGCAACTCTATGTAAGTACATACTATTTTGTTCATCCTGTACATTGTTCCTCTTCAAAATAGTGTGTGACATCGATGACTTTGTCTCCTACTATCGTGCTGCAATGGGAAGTTCCTTCATTCCCAAGCTGCACATGCTTGAGGATCATGTTGTCCCCTTCATCAAGCAGTGGAGGGTTGGCCTGGGCATGCTGGGTGAGCAAGGAATGGAGGGAATACATGCCAGATTTAACTCACTAGAAAGGACATACTCAAATATGTCAAACAGAGTAGAGCGCCTGAAGTGTGTGGTGGCGGAGCACTGGCGCCAGATACCTCCAGCGAACATCGTACTGCAACCACCTACTCAGAAGCGACTGAAGACGGATTAGCGCCACATTTCCATGGATTTATACTCACCAAATAGTATCTTAATAGCCGGGGAGATCAATCTAACTATTTATTCCTCGATCTCTGGCCAAAAACACTTCTGGTATACGTCAAAAGGGCTAAGACCGTGTATAAATGGTAGTTATTCAACGGTCCATAAGGCCGTGTAAAAAATAGTTCTAGGGACCTCACCTCCACTTTCCTGTCCTTCATTGATGTCTTTTTCTCTTGGGTAGGATTTTATGCGGATAAAAATTCTACAAACGCTCTCTAACGCTCGACAAAGAAGAACCACGTGGGTGAATCTCGGATTCATCATACTCCGAGTATACGAGAACCGTACCGGCCGTATTTGGTACCGCTGTGGAGCGCAGACACTCCCCGCTTCGATAGTGCAGCGCGTTGCGCTTTCAAACGCACGCACAACGCCTCAGCGCTGGGTAAAACGCGTGGCATTACGTTGTCAAGGGATTGTCGCTATGGAAAAATTGCGGCGCGCACTAGCGTTCGTGACGTCAGCAACTGCAACGCGTATTATGGAAATGAAATACCCGTGAGCTAAGAGCGGTGGCAACGCATGGCTAAACGCGCGTTGGAAAAATGGCGACAGGCTTCGATATCTTCGGAGAGACACGAGCTGCTCTTGCCACTTCCAACTGCAAACTAAAACCGTGAACCACGCGTGCACATGCACGAGAATTAGAGCTCTTGCCACTTTCAACTTCAGAGTAGTCTCAGCAAACTAAAACGGTTGCGCGAATTAGAGTCCGGCTGACCGGACTCTACGCGAATTAGAGTCCGCTCACGTACCAATCAGATTGCGCGATTTAAATTACTTAGCTCTAAACAACGTTAGAGTATATCAGTGGATGATTGCTATCTGGACTGTTGTATTGTATTATTGTGAAATCTATATTTTATGCATGTTTTGTGATATACAACATAACTGATTTAAGGCATACCTAAAATGGTTTGATCTATGACTGCACACCGTATCATGTGTGATACAGGCATAAGAAAAGGATTGATACACTTTTGCAGAAATCCATTTCTGAGGATGATCTTCATTCCACTTGATGCATGCCACAATAATTATGGCTTTTCTTTGTATGAACATTGTATACCTTTACTGTAGCACTGTGACAATGAAAGTAGCCAACACGGAAGTCATCATAACAAGGATGCCTCTCTCAGATATTATGCCTGTCCAGAGGGGGCCAAGCAGCAATAATAGTGAATTTTTGGCTCTAAATTTTTCTGAAAGGAAGGTTTTTATTATATGGCTGAATTCTACATACTGTAGTGGGACATGTACAAGAACTTCATACATTCCTTAATCATATCACGGACTTCTCATATATTTTTCATGCCCTTGGTATGAGAGTTTTAATTGCACAGACATTAGAAGCAAAACACATCCAATTCTGTTTATGTCATTACAGGGAGACTGGTGTTAGAGGTTTTCATCTGAAGCACGTCCGTAACTCTAAAGGAAGTTCTTCTGAAAGCTCTAGCAATGCAAGTGTTTGTAAACTGCAGAACTTATGAACCAACTGAATCTCGGGTAATTCACGTTTTCTGCATCTTTTCCAATATGCTGTTGTATCTTTCAAAACACCAAAAACAGTGAAGAGGACATACACTCCTTGAGGTGGCAATGCATGTGCGTGTTTGGAGTGCATGATAGAGGACTTGTTGCTGTGACTCAACTAGTAGCTTGTCAGCTTTATCAACATCATGCTGTGACTACAGAGAAGAGAACAAGCCTGAGAAAACAAGCCCTGATGGTCATATAGTTCCCGTGGAAGTCTGTTCAAAAGAACCAATGATGAGTATAAAATTGTCCACAGCATCCATTGCTCTGCAGTAAACCCTGCAGCTATCTTATGGGGATCCTACCAGGAGGCAAGATTTCATATTATCCTTCTTAACTTACTCAGGTGACCTTGGACATAGTGTCCTTGGTGTGGTACGTGGTGCGTGGTGCGTGATGATGTAATGACGTTATTGTTGTGATACGCTTGCGCCCAGGGGGCGTGGGCAATTATTCGTTGTTTATTTCTGTGATAATGTTAATTTTTTCCCCTTTACATACAAACAACAAAAACAACAAAAAAACAACAAAAACGTTGTTTGCGGGTGTTGGGGCAAACTGCAGGGCTTTGGTAAAAATAGGGATAGATTTTTCTCCGCATCACCCTCTAACACACAAGGCAGCTGTGGTGAGCACATTCTTTCACCGAGCAAAGGATCTGTGCTCTACCACCCAACACACAATTACCGAGCACAAGACGCTATGCAAGACACTCAAATTAAACAACTATCCAAAGAGTTTCGTGCATAGGGTGAGAAGCAAAAATGCTAACATACATGAAAAAAGTCTCAGCGAGCACAAGGCAGCAGTGAAACATGCGAAGACTGATGTGTCTGCTGTGGCTGAGCATGTTTCGAAATTGGGCCATCAAGTAGACTTCCAATCTACGTCAATCCTTGACCATGAGAACAACCAGTTTCGAAGGTGTGCCCTGGAGTCGTGGCACATACAGAGACATCCCAGCTTCAACAGGGAAGGGGGTGCCCTTCCTTCCACCTGTATATCGCTGTTTGCACTGAAGTGCGTTTCCTTCTTTTTCTACTTTTCATCTTTTCGCACCCCCACTTTTTGTTATTTTTATTATATTTTAATTTTATTTTTTGTGTACTTTATTTTATTTATATATTACGAATTATTATTTTGACCTTTACAAACCTAGCTACCTTGCTATTTCATTTTCATTCTTGCCTCTTGTTCCCTCTCTTAGTTACATTGGGAATTTAATTTTCATTCCTCTGTCTCTCATGCCTTAAAAACTCAGCCATTTCCTTTTTTTTTTACTTTTTGCCACTGATGAGGACTGCAGAGTCAGTCGAAACGTTTGGCCAAAAACGTTTTTCTGACTAGTGTTAGTAGATAGAATTCATAGAGAATGCAATATCCTAGTCAACCAAGTATACTTACAAATACCTTTAAGGGATCTTTTGGAGCACTATGGTGAAGACCTTTTGCTCTTGAAACAGAAATTCATTTGCGGAAATGCAAATGGAATTCCTGTTCTCGCAAGCTGCCCGACACTCCTGCAGAAGCTCTACAGTTACAGTATGTTTCCCAATATACATCAAATCTTCCGTCTAGTGTGTACCATTCCAGTGACTGGCTGTGAATGTGAACGCAGCGTTAGCGTTCTCCGTCGCCTCAAGACATACCTTTGATCAAGTGTGGGTCAAGAGCGACTGAGTGGTTTGGCCCTTATGCATATCCACTATGGAACTTTGACGAAATTATCGACATATTTGCTAGGATCCAAGAAGAATTATGCTCAGAGATATTCTCCGGAGCAATACCTAGGTTTCAAGGTTCATAGCACGTACAATAACATCATCATTATGATAGCCCTACATTGACTGTGTACCATTGATTTTAACTCACTGTTCATTGATGTCTGTTTTCTTTCCACCCAAACGCTAAGGCGCATTGAAGTGTCTAACGTGCGCGCAAGCGCGTATTAAGTTTTATGCGCATGCGCAAAACATTTTCTTGCGCGCGCAATACTTTGAAAACCCCCTCCGTGTAGTCCTGGCTACAGGGGGAAGTGCCTCAACTTAGGTAAAACAGTCAAATTAGAGGTAGTAGTTGCCGCTTTCATCTTGGAACACATGATAAAAATCATTTGAATATTCTTCTGGCCAATTATGGCTGGCATATGTGCAACTTGACTCGCAATGACACATGGCAGTTCATTCCATTAAATCTTTCAAAACTGAAGAGCCAACATCAAAATCTGTGAGGCAGTCTTCCCATAATTCAAGCATCAAGTGATCAGCCTCTTGAATCTGAGTTAAATATACAGACCTTTGACACAACAGATGACAACTTTTGACAAACATGAGCCAGCACGTGTAGTCACCATGTGGCTTAAGTGAGCAAAGAGAATAGCGGTAAATCCAGAATATCCAGAAGAAATACGTGAGCCAACATCGCCAACATCGCTTGGTGTGATGAAACTGTCAACCGTTGATTGTATTGTATCCATATCTTTTTCCGTTATCATATGCTTGACAGTACCAAGCAGCAAATTATGCAATATGTCAGCATTCTGAATTCGGGTTTTGGCTCGGTATTGGCAACGCCTTGTGGGGATGAATCTCATTAGTTCAGAACCACAAGCGCTGCGCCTGAGCAAAGCATTGTGGGGATGAATCTCATTAGTTCAAAACTACAAGTGCTGCGCTCAACTTTGCCTTTATAAACGCATGATGCCAGAGAGAGAAGTTGTGGTATGCTTTGCTGATGAGGGCCAACAAGCCTGAAACAGCTGTCCAGAGCTCCCCATCTTTTTTCTCTGGGCATCACATGTTACATGGGATCTATTACAGACACATCATAATATGGTAACTCCAACAAAATGCATCCATATTCCCTCTCATGTTGGCGGTGAGACTGCATGGATCGTGGTTCCCACAAAGTTCAATCAAATGCAGTATAATTAGGTTTTTCACCAAACTTAGCTGTTGGAAAAGCCTTAAAGCATTTGGAGCAACCATGCAAAGCGTTTTGACCAATGAAGCAAGAAACTTTGCGAGAGGCTGGTATATCACAAGCTGTGCAAAGGAGTGCTGCGCGAACCATTACATTTGCTCCTGACGTATATTTCATGACAACACCTTGCCAAAGTTCTAGCAACTCACTAATAAGAGGCTTAAGGTAATCATTCATGGTTTTGCTGGGTTCATGTGGACCAGGAATGACACCTACATTCTCACTGTTGTATCGTTCAGACCGTTCTGAATAGCGGGATATATAGCGCCAGTCGAGTGATTGGTGTGTGTGAACCAATCAATGTTCAGTGTAAATGCAAAATGAGACAAAGGGCACACTGTTGGGATTTAAAAATTGTTTCCATACATTTCCATCATATATATCCGCTAGAACACCATCTGTTACCTTACGTGACCTCCATGATTCAAATTTTTCTATAAACCCAGGGCGAACACTCAGCAACTCTATAACACTTTTGTAGCAAAACACTTGTTGAACCACCAGAAGTCCAAACTGTAAAAACGGTGGTGTCAGGGTAACACCAAATTGTGATGTCAACAGGCTGTGTGAGTAGGACACCACTCATTTACACCAGCTGTTGGTGCTTTGGGAGCACAGTCTAAGCACCATATAGAGTTGGTGTCATTATTAACACCATAATTATTGGTGTCATTATTGAGCTCATATACCGCAATAATATTGCCAAAACTTGATAAAACATGAAGTGAAAACATGAAGTGATATAAACTGAAATGAAGTGAGCACAAACGAGAGATTAAAAAATTATGTCTGAGAAACCTCAAGGCTGGCACTAACACCCATGTAAATATATTTCTCAAAAAATAACATTAAGTCCAAAGGAAAAGATATGTTGAAAATATAATGCATACATGATGGCATTCTGTTCTCACCACTTTTAAGTCACTAGTCGAAGCCCTTGTAGCACCAAATCCTACAATAATTATATGGAGCCTTAGTCTCAATGCTCTTTAATTCCTCTCCAATGTCAAGAGCTTCGCCTCGCCTGCTTCGCCCTACAGCATAAAATCAGACACGATGATGATAAATAATGTGCTAACCCTTGGCACAGTGTGCGTGGGTGCAAATTGCAAAATACGCATGCACAGACATACATAACTAAGTAATCTACCATGCCACATGCAGTGAATCTACATACTAGTTCTCACCCCTCAACGGTGCACATGCAAAAGGGCAGAATCAGGTTGTATGTTGACATGCTTTCCCTCCACAGCTTTTGAACATAAAAAAATCGTCACTTTTACTGTTCCTTTGGCTGCCATGTTACATGCACACACACATTCACGTGCACACACTACACACAAATCTGTACATGGAGTCCTTGTGCAAACTTGTTCGTATGAGAATTTTACCGTTTATGGACACAATCCAATTTCTTAATTAAAGCTAACCCAGTCAACAGTGCTTGGCCCTTTGACCTCACATTCAGTAGGGCAGCAAGTAACAGCAGAGTATCAGCAGAGTATACACGCCAGTTGTGTCTAGAGAGAGTATAAGCAACACTGTATTGTAGAGCAGTATAAATGTGTATTATAAAGATTTATAGCATGATCAAAGCTGGACCGGACATAATGGACAACATATGGGGGTATTATCATAACACAGTACCTTCATTATCTTCGTCATTCAATTTTACTTCATCCAGTAGCTCTTTCACCACTCTCTGCTCAATGGAGCATACAGGAGAACACGGTCTTCACACCTTCTCCACATGCCATTCTCTTCGGCTCCAGTAATAAGGCAGAATTCACTGAGCATCTAACGCAAGCGCAAAAGTTTTGAAGACTGTCATGTGTGCATATATGTCCACAATGCTTTGCATATAGGTAATTGCGACGAATAAAGGGTTAAACATCGTACAACCTAAAATGGACACGAAAAGAACCTGCACTTTTATACAGAGACACAGATACACACTGAGAGATGCATGTACTAAGTGCCGTTTGTATTCAGCAACATCGAATGTTACATCAGCAGGGCAAGACGTTCTTTTCAATGGACAGTGGATCTCTGCCCGCCTAAGATTTTTGAATTTGGTGCGCAACATCTCCCTCCATGATGCCTGAAAAATGAACATTAATGGTTTAGTATGAGGTACATCAGTACACTGAAAACATTGAATTAGCATTTACATCCCACAGAAAAATTCACCCAATAGTAATTCAAGGCTACATGAACTTCTATTTTTA